TAACTTAGTCGACGTACGCGTTTCTTACTTGTACAACTACGTAACGTTTAGGTTTGGTTAACCGTAACTTACGTTACGTTAATTAGTAGAAGTACTCTCCTCTCTCTCTCTCTCTCTCTCTCTCTCTCTCTCTCACACACACACACATACACACACACACATGATAATGGTTTGACTTGAGTCATTGCCTTCTAAACAGGTGAACTAAGTCGCTTTGAAACTGGAGTTACACTTGAGATATCTCAACTTGATGCGTGGTATAAAGATGCTGAAGGCACCCAGAAAGACCTTGCAACTTATGTTGTTAGGGGTCTCTGCCGTAGATGCTGTCTTCCAGAGCTCATCCTTCGCATTATGCAGGTTGGTTTTTTCCCCTGTTCCTTCTAGTTCTGAAGTTGTACTAAGTGCACCTTACTTTTTTATTTATCAAAAAAAGTCCACTTGCCTTTTATTGTCTTGATCCTCTTTACTTATTAAGAATTTGTTTTAGTTGTTGCTTGTTTACTTGTATGGAATATTGGCATAGATATCTGGGTGATGCTTTCTTTTGAGTTTATTTTTTATTTCGCATAATATTTTGCAGATTTCTGTTTCTCTTGCTGAATCTGGTATTACTCCTGATGACCATGATGAGTTGATTGAGCTGGTGGCCTCTCCCGAGTCTGGGTTACTTCATTTGTTCAGTCAACATCAATTGCAGGTGTGTTTGGTTGCCCCTCTCTCTTTCTCGCACACACGCACACATGTACAAATTGGTGTGTGGATGTGTGCATGCAGGCTGTATTGGAATCTTGATGTGCTTGTTTATTCATTACCAGTCCCATATTTTGGAAGTGTCATAATATGTTTTGTGAGTTGTGTATGCTTGTCCCTTTCAGGAGTTCTTATTATTTGAGAGAGAATATGCAATATGTAAAATTGAGTCTCAAGAGGAGACCTTGACAGACTGATGAATATCGACCATGAGTGTCTGATGCAATTCTGTATGATCGTCCCATTTCGGTTTCAAGGAAAGGTGAGACGTTTCGATGGAGGGTTCAGTAGGTTGTTCAGGACATCAACCCGCCAGAAGTTGCAACCTACCTACCTTTTGTATGCTTGTGATCTTATTGTGTTCGGGAAAGCTAATTAAAACTGTGAATATAACATAAATGCATGTCTATTTTCCAACAAGAAATGAGTTACGTAGCAGAAAAGAAAAAGAACTCCAAGACTAAATTAACTGAATAGGCATACATTCCTTCCAGATGTGCCTATTGGAGATATGGTCATTCTTAGACATTTTGGGATGCCCAGAAGAAATTCTTTATGTATCTCTGTCTACCTTCTTGACTGATGAACCGATACCCACCTCCTGTAATTTCCTTATATATAGCATAACATATGAGTATTATTAGGGTTGGATTTCCAACCCATACTTTTGCTACAATCTTGAGGGAAAATTTTATTTAGAGGCGAGGCTCTAAACAATGAAATTAGAGCGCACCTCAAAATTTTCATTAGAAGAGGTTGTTTTGATGTTCAAATATATCCTCAAATTGAGCATCTTGGCATCAAGATTCATTGACACGAGAATAAAATGGATTTCAAGTTTTAGAAATAGTGCATCTTTTATTGTATTTTTAGACTGTCAATTTTCAAGATTTTCATGTTTTTATGGATCTACTCGATCTACATTATTTTTTGAGCTTGAAATTTTATAATTAGATATTAAAATATATTTTAAGGCTGTCACAAAGATTTCCATATTGAAACTACATTTTTCAACACTATTTGAAGTTGCGCTTTCCGCACCTGCACCCTCACGTGAGTGCTTGCTTGCATTTCCTTAGGGGTATGGCAAAATATTATTTGTATTTATTTGGGGTCTTTATAAAATTATTGAACATGTCTATGGCAAGTGCGCAAATCAATTTTCTTGTTTCTTTTCTTGAACCTTTTGGTGGAATGGTTTTAGGACTCTCCCAAAAGGGCAAAAACAAATGCCCATGAGTATAATATTATATCGATTTTATTTTATTTTTCTTCTTTTTATTGGGGGAAATTTTTCTATGTTTCCCAACAATATAGAACTTCTATCCTTCCTTTTATCCAATAGTTTATTTTTTAATGGAGGATTAAGATTGCTTCAATCACAATGTCACATCTCTACATTGTTTTATTTTTAATTGTTTTTCTATAACCTGTTTTGATACCAAATTTTGGGTGTCCATTCCTCTATCAAAGTTGCGCTGACGAAAAATATAAAAAAAAAAATATATTTTTAACAATATAAAATGATCAAAATACCCATGAAAATTTTAAGGGGTAATTTGGTCATTATTTTTTATCGAAAAATATTGTTAATATTTTTTATAGGTGCGCCCCAATGAGAAGATGGCACATACCAAACTCTATATTCAGAAAAATTGTATTAAAAAAAACTAAAAAAAAAAATACTTTTAAGATGTCGGATATAAGATCAAACGGCTCTCTTGATAAAAAAATGGACGGCTGGAGGGTAAGGGGAGGATAGAACTTCTATGTTGTAAGGGGAATATAGAAAGCTTGCCTTTTATTGGGTGCGTGAGGTTGAGGTGCATCGACCCTTCAAATTTCAGCTCAAACAAATTTGGAATATATAAAATTAAAAGTTAAAGGACCAAAATATACTCCCAATAGTCCAAGTAAAATCAGGAGCACATATATTTCCTTCTATTCCCTTGGTGAGAAGGCCTACTTGGGGAGATTTTTTCAATATAAAATTTTGAGAACCATTTAAGAATTGCCAGATAGTTATTCTTGAAAAATAAAAATGAATTTTTAGTTTTCTAACATTTGGATCTCACCATCTAAAATGTGGATGGTTTTTATGCAATGTATTGACATTTTATTTAAAATGCATAGAGGTTATAATTAGGATTAAAGTTATGTAAGTGAAGTGGAGATGTGCAATTATAATTTTATGTGATTTTGCATACCAATGAAGTTGAATTACAAGTTTTGTAATATAGTTATGAGACCAGCTTTGCTCTAAGAGGTGATATGTTGGGCGGTCAAAACAAAAATACTTATAGAATGAGTGTAGTGGAGATGGGGATGTTGAGGTGAACAAATGATACAAGAAGGGATAAAATTCAAAATGAATACATTCGAAAAAAATTAGGTATAGCACCAATAGGCGATAAGATGAAAGAGAATAGACTTAGGTGGGTTGGTCAAGTGTGGCATAGCCCATAACAATACCTGTATATGTTGCGAGGTGCGAGTTAGTTCAAGTGGAAGGCTCAATGCAGGTAAAAGGTAGGACCAAAAGGATATAGTTGAAATATAATGAGAAAAGAAATAGGGATTTATGGTATCACTTAGGGAATGACTTTTAATAGAGTAAAATGGCAAATCAGGATTCATATAGCCAATCCCAATTAGTTCATAAAAGATTTTGATGATGATGATAGAGGATATAACTAGAAGAAAAAAAAATTTCTTGAGGTTAATCTATAGGTTGAAGAGGCTGCATCCAAATTTGGAAATTTGGGGTCCTATAAGTAATTCCAAGTAGAGATGTACCTGAGGGAGTAAATAGAACCTTCTACTCATGTAGGAGATGGAATATCTTTTGGCTAAAATGAGATGATTGTATGATTAATAGTCTTTAGGCCATGAGTGATATCACTGTATCATTTTGCATGCAGGATTTTTTATAGGGTTTCGCTGCATATGTATGGGTCACACGCAAATGCAGCACAAACTCATTCCAAACACATGTCTCGGAGATTTAAGAATGAAATACATACAATTTTTTCAATCCTAAAATATAAGTATTAGTGGGAATTACTGTTTTCCTCTCAACAATATTTATAGTTTTCATTTCATTTCATTATTAATGAAAATTATAAACGAATAATAATTGAGCGCGACGATTTTTCATTCTTTGACATCTCAAATTACTTAAAGAATAAATATAACGATAGTAAGGTCACAGATTCCACGCTCATCATACTCGTGAAGGTTTAAACAAGGTTGTGAACAGGTCAGGTCAGGTGGGGTCTGGGTCGACCCCAACCCAACCAAGTTGGGGCGAGACCTAGACCCAGGTCAGGTCTAAGTCATTAATATCTGAACCTAACCTGTTGGGTTGTGCTGGGTTGGGTCGGGTAGTATTGTGTGCGCGTGTATGTGCAAGGGGGGAATTTGTTCAAACATATCCAAGCTATTAATTATTTAATGTTTATCCATCTATTTTGATTTAATTTCAAAATACGCATCAAAATAAATGTGCTTGTATTGAAATGGTAGAAAGGTATCGAATGTTAAATACTTGAAAATAAGGTGTTCGTAATTTCCTTAATTCTGTTATATATGTGGCAAAGGATATCCTACTCCTGGGTCCATTTACTCCATCGGGTAAAATCCCATTTCAAATTTATTTTAGAACTCTTAAATTTTAGGGATCTATTTACTCCCTCATGTAAAACCCCACTTCAAATTTATTTTAGAACTCTTAAATTTTAGGGATGTAACCTCTTCAATTCATAAATTAACCTCATAATTGTGTTATCTATGCATTTGAAAAAGATAGTCTCTCGATTGAATAGAGACTATCCAATTTTTAGATGGTGAGATATAAGTATTAAAAAACTCAAATTTCTTTTTTATTTTTTATTTTTTTGAGAATAATCATCTAGTAATTCTTAACTGGTTTTCAAAATTTCATATTGATAAAATCCTCCCAAGTCTTTTGATCGAGGGAGTACAAGTGACATATAGCAAGGGGAGCATAGTGTACATGCTACTTAGGGGCCATTACTTGGTGTGATGGTAAAAAGCTCGGGTAGCCAGTGCAAGACCTCAAGTTCGAGACCTGAGAGCGGTCACATTGTGCATAAGCCAAAGGTTAGGATCGTTTCCAACCCACCCCTCCTGAGACCTTGCTTAGACGAGACCAGCTTCGGGTTACAGCCCTTTATATTTGTACACAAATATAATTTACATATATTATACATGTATATATCAAGTCAGGTCGATGCCAATATAGACCTAATTCGTCACATCCCCGTTCGAGCCCTCTCACAAAGTGTGGATGCGCACAGTGGAACCCAGATTTTATGCAACAAAAACACGAAATACTTGCGCATAAGTGAGAAAATATGCGGTACAACAAATAAATTATTTTTTGGGGATCGAGATTTACATAGTTCACCTTTTCAAGTTAAGAAAGAGATGAAAATCCATTAAAAATAATAGAGTACAATGTTCTTCCAAGAGGGAAGCTCTCTCAAGCTGGAAGTTTATCTCTCTCAAGCTAGAAGTTTATCTGACTTCTTTTAGAGGCTTTTCTCACTTTAGGTTTTCTTCCCTTGGATTTTTTTCTTCTCCAAAAGGTTTTTTCAAAGGAAATGACTGAGATCTAGAGGTAGCATGCAGTGAGGATTGCCTCACCCCAATATGATTTTGGTAACTATGTGGCAGATAGCATGCTCCTAACACTCTCCATAATGGTGTGATTCATTATCTCTACTATACCATTATGCTGGAGGTTATATGACATTGTCTTTTCGTGCATTATGCCATACTTGACAAAATAACTTTTGAAAGTATTCGAGGTGTACTCTCCCTAAGACATTTCAGTAGCTTAGCTATCTCCCTTTCCACCTTAGCATAGAAATTATGAAAGATCTCAAACACTTGATCTTTTAATTTCATTAAATACACTCACACTGTTCTTGAAGCATCATCGATGAAGGTGATGAAGTTTGATGTGCCACCAAGTGATTTCAATTCCATGGAACCACACACATCAGAATACTTCAAATCCAAAATTTTCATATCTTTAGAGCTCTTACTTGAAAATATACCTTATGTTGTTTGCCTAGGAAACAGTACTCACATTGTGTTCGAGATGTATTCTTGACACTAGGAAGGATATGCTTCTTTGCTAAGATTTATATTAATTTTTCACTCATATGGCTGTGACACCTATGCCACATGTCTAGTGAGAGTTCTTCTATGGCGGTATTAACTTTCTTTTGGAGACTTACATGTATGTTCTGTAAAGTTAACAAAATTTTTCGCCATTTTCCACAACAAGAGAATCCTTTGTCAACTTCATGTATCCCTTATTAAACACTGAGTGGTTCCCTCCATCATCTAAACACCCTCCTAAGATGAGGTTCAGATAGATATGTGGGACGTGTCTGACATTGGCACCATCATCATTGTGATATTAGTCTTGATGTGTAAATCTCCCTTACCCACAACCTTTGAGGAACCATTCAGTTGAAAAAGGTTGGGTGAAATGGGGACAAAAAATGGTACGATTTCACAACTAAGATCTCAAACTCTTCTTGTTTTTTGGCACGCAGGAGCGCTATCTCATGACAATATTTACCCCATTTGATAGATATTTGATGTGCATGAGAAGGGCAATTCATCCTCGGGATACAAGAA